TGAAATCTTGCCATTTGCAACAACATGGATGGACCTTGAGGGTGTTATGCTAAGTGACAAACAAAGACAAATACCATGATGGTCTCACTTATATGTGAAATCTTAAAAAACAAAAAAACAAAAACACCAAGCTCATAGATACAGTGAACAGACTGGTGGTTGCCAGAGGCAAGGGAAATGGGTGAACAGGGTCAAAAGGTCCAAACTTCCAGTTTTAAAATAAGTTATGGGGATGAAATGTATAGCATTGTGGCTATAGTTAATAATACTGCACAGTATATCTGAAAGTTATTGGAAGAGTAAACTTAAATATTCTCATCACAAGAAAAGAATTTTTCTAACTACGTATGGTGATGGATGCTAGCTAGTCTCAGTATAGTGATCATTTTGCAATATATACATATATGGAATCACTGTGTTTTACTCCTGGAACTGACATAATATGTATCAATTATACCTCAATAAAAACAAATTTAACAAAAATAGAGCAAACTAGCACCTAGGGTGTGACTGACAGGTAACTTAAAGAGCAAAGAGGCTGGGTCCAACAGAGCAACTGTCTGAAGTGGAAATATGAGCAAAGGAAATGCTTATACATGTTTATGGTAGATGGTATCTTGTTTGCCATCTCTTCCTTCTAACAGGATGACCTACTACTGTTATGTGACTTGCCATTCCTCCTGCAGGGAGAGTATATGTCCCCACCTCATTGGCGTTGGGCTTAGCCACTTAATGTTTGGTCACTGGAATGTGAGCACATATAACATATGCCATAGCTGAGCAGAAGCTTTATGAAGAAGCATCAGGAGCTACTTCCAGGGCTTTTGATCTTTCCCTCTGCCACAAGAATGGGAATGTCCCATATAGGTACTTCCCCTTTAACCTAAGTTAGATGACTCTTAGAACCCAGAGAATGAGAAAACACTTAGAACAGAGCCACAGCTGACCACAGGCTACATGCCCTGTAAATGATCAATAAGTGTTTTGTTGTAGCAAGTCCGTAAGATTTTCTTACTGTAGTAGAGTTGACTAATACAGAAATGCTACCTAGATGTACGGTGCTGCTCCGCAGCCCTGTCTTTAACATCAGATAGTGGGCAGCATGGAAACTGTCATGTGGAGCTAGAAAAATGGTGAGCCATATTATGTAGGGATCAAATATTTCGTGAATGAAATTGTCACCTGCAATTACTTAACGACAGGTAATAAACCTAATGAATTTATGGCTTTGGGTGAAGAGAAACGAATGGTTGTGCAAATAAAATATATTTGAAAGTGAGAGATCTAGCCCAATCCCCCAAATTTTATAAATAGTGCCCCTTTCTGCACCCCTCCCTCTGCCTTCTTAGTGCCTGTCATCAGCTCTTATGCCCTCATGCAACAGCCCCTGCCATGGTGGTGCCCCACTCCCACCTGCCTCTACTACCATAATATACTGTGCTTAAATGAGTCCCCCCTTTGTGGAGAATGAGGAATTCAGGCTGAAGAAATGCATGAAATTGTGATTTTGAACTCACAAGTTGATGATAATGATCACTGAGTGAAATATATACAGAAGAAAATTTGATTCTTAATTCTTCCCCATGTTAATATTTTAGAAGAATGTGATGATGACAGAGAATAAGCAAATACTCTCAAATCATGCTGTATTATACACAACTTCCTGTGGGACACAAGGGTTCAATTAAAAAAATTACTCTTCTTGAAAACTAAATAGTATGTTGTTTTCCACAAGAACCACTGACTAGAGGTTTTCATCTGGAAAGTACTTCACTCCCTAGTATAAAAAAGTTTAAGAACACAGCAACTAACAATGTTCCTTGCTTTCTGAAGAGTTCCCTCTGTTCCTTCTGAAACCCACAAATAATTGCCAAGTTAACTGATCTCACATTTTTACTTTAATTAAATGAAACAACACTTTATTCTTCCAGATCCCTGTCAAATATATTTTAGAATTGCCTATGCTAAAAGTGACAAATCTTATATAATCATCCCACTGTCTGTAACACTTTTCAAATATATTTTTGTTGATATGCAATCAGCATAACATTTCCTTTCTACTGAAGTTTCCCAGTTCCTGTTAATGGTCCTATAAAACAAGGATACTACTTCTTTCAGATTTCATAGACATAACAATCTACTCTCTGATTAATGTGAATCTTTTTTCTATTGAATCTTTAATTCAAGTTTAGGAGACAATAGCAGAATTCAGTAACTTGACACCTTAGATGGTTGTAAAGTTCATTATCCTTTCCTTTGCTCTGTTAAAGTACCCCAAATTTAGGTGGGAAAGTACCTAGAGAGCAAGCCCCTTGGAGGTTCCTGTTATTGTAAGGAGGTGTGTTGCACAGACACAGTACCTGTATCAGTTAGGGTTTGACCAGCGATGCGGGACCACTGTGAGAGATGTGAATAATGGAGTTACTAAAAGAGACCTTAACACAATTTGGGGAGAAGCTGAGGAACACAGGTCCAGAAGGGAGCACCTAAGGATTAGAGCAAAGTCGCTAAGATCACAAAGGAGAGCTGGGGAAGACTATGGAAGGTTGTTGGCTCTGCATTTGGTGATAAGCCTAAAGTTACTGTAGGTCAACAGGGCAGATAGTCAGGAAGGAGAGCTGGGAGCAAAGTAGACAGAGGAAGGACAAACCTGGGAGGACAAACTGGTACCATTCTGTCTGTTTCTCATCATTCCAAACCTTTATTACGTGGATGGCCCAAGACTCAAACTGAAAGAGATCTGGGAGGAGTTGGAGAAGCTGAGTGCCCAGCTGTTGCCCCACCACATAAAGGTCGCTGTCAACGGATTAGTGACAAGTCTGAGTTGCACCTGGGGCCCTGCGCTGACCTTACAAATGTAAAGGCCTTTGTCTAACTCCACTGCTTTCTAAATCTCAGGCAGATTTCTCATGTGATGAGCCCTAACCAGGAACCATACAGAGAAGAGCAGTCACAGTTGACACAAGATAAAATTACATAGTATCCAAAATTCCCTTCATGTAAATTGACCCTAAGATGGATTTAAGCCTCTCAGAGACCACATATATTCATTCAGTAATAAAACCTATCATAGTACAGAATCTTAATTACTGCATTTATTTGCAAATTTCCCTCCAAACTTTTTTCTAATACCAGAAACATCACTACCAGCAAAGAGGTATTTATTTTGCTCTTACTAAGATAAACATAAATGTAAAACAACATTCAACATCTTATCAGTTTAATTTTTTAAATGGAAGAAATCTACTTAATCCTTCTCTATTTCCACCCAACTGCTCTTTACCATCTCAGCTCTCCTCACACTATCTTTTCTGCTTCTCCTGCGCCAAAAAGTATTTAAACTCCAAACATAAGGCCTTCCTTCTTGCTCCTCCCTGCAATGTGGCCTTTTGTCAAAGCCACCAAGTCCATCTGTCAGAGTTGTGTAAATCTGAGCTATAATTACAAATATGAATTAAGTTCAAGTTCTTTCTTACAGAGTTCTCTGTCCCATATAAATTAAAATACGAGGTATGTCACCAAATTCTATATCCTTGCAAACCCAACTCAACTGAGACTGGTAACATCCCTAATACACTCTTGGAGTCCCTACAGATGTCTCTGCCCTCATCAAAGAATTTCTCCTTGGAGAGTAACAAGCTCAACTTCATCTGAAGTCTCCCTTGGTCCCCAAAGACACACTCTTCTATTCAGTAGTGGCACTGAGCTCCCACTTGCCAGAAGCATTAAAATTGAGTCAAAGCACTTAGTTGACTTAATAGAACTTTCTGGAAATCACAGCTTTTTCAACCATGTTCCCCTCACTTTGGGAATTTTTGGTTAGGGTAACTTCCCAGTGTAGAATTTGCTAATAAGTTAACTAACATATTATCCCTATGACATGGTTAAAAAGTCACCAGGAATTGGGCAGAAGATCCAAATGTTGGTTCTGGCACAAGTCTCAATGAGAAGGTAAAATCCACCTTATAGGGGTGTTATTATGAAGTGTAAATTAAATAATGGATATCCTATTCTCACCCATAATGACCCCTGACTAGTCCATTACCCACCTCTTTGGTAAGGAAATACCTTCTCTTTCTTGCACTGGGCCTTACATTTGGGTAATGGAGTGCTTGTAGGACTGCACAGCCATTTCAAGGGCCACCTCATACCACACAGAGCCACTATTCCCTTCCACACAGGCCCTGTGGTGGACCTGCTCCGCCATGCCTCATAGCCACTTACTGTGAGGTGGGAGGTCTTTCCACATCAATGGTAAGGGTTATTTTTTTCTTCTCCCTTTCTCAGGGTACATGGTATCCCTCCATGCAGTCCAGCCTTACATTACTCAGGATTAGAAAGGTGCCATAAAAAGGTTAATGCAAAAATATTATATGCTAAATGACATAAATGCTTACTAACTTAGAACATGCTTTTTTCCATCTCTCTAAGTTTTATTTTGTGTCACTCATGGTCAATAATTTGTTTTTCATTCCAATCATATTCCTAAGATAAGATCAATTATTTGATTTCACTTTCCTTACTTTTTTCCTTAAAGTTACTTATAATAAAGTTATAATTATATATACAATAACATTATAATAAAAGGCAAACACATAACCAAACATAGCTTAATGAAAACTGAAGCTAATATCCGCTATATCTACATTTAAATTACAGAGAAATAAGTATGTGGAAATTATCTCCATCATCAATAGTAGTTGCTAGGCTTATAAAATATTTTGTGCATGTAGGGACCACTGAAGCACAATAGATTTCAGTTTTCTTCCCTCTCCTCTTCCATGCTGACCTTATTCACATCCCTAGTGAGCAGACAAAAGTCAGTTCAGACTCGGAAGGGCATCTGATCAGTAGATTACACACAAACAAAAATTTCAACTTTTATTTTTAAATGTTAAATTTACTACAGGCTGATCAAGAAAGATCAAATTTGACTTCTTTAAACAGGCAATATTTAAAATTGGAAAATTTTGGCTTATAACTAATATTGCAAGAGCATTTCATGAAGATGTTGCCCATTTCAAATACTGAATAAGATCTTCTCTCTCACTCTTCTTTTTAAGACCAGCAAAAACCATTTTAGTTCCAGGGATATATTTCTTTGGGTTCTCCAAATATTCCATCAGAGTTTCCTCCCCCCAGATAATACCCATAAAGGTGAAAATAAGTTTTAAGTTTGTATAGTTATATTTGTAAGGCTTACTTTCTGATGTGACCCGCATATGTGAACAAAAGATTACTCTTGGATTCAATAGGAAGGCTCTCATAACTGGGAATACTTACAGTTTCTGACCTATAAGAAAATTCCAAAATTAGTCTTTGGCGCTCTACTCTTCCAGTTCCCTATAGAAATCTAATACTCACATGCTGTTCAGCATGATCCAAAGTATACCAATAAACTTCCAACCTAGACATGTTGGCAGTACCCCATCCTCCTAGAATCACAGAGTTCTTCTAGAAGAGATCTTAGAAATTAATCCAACCCCTCACTTTGCAGATGAATAAATGATCCAAACAGAGAATAATTTGCCCTAAAAGACAAGATGACTTAAAGTCAAGAATCTGTGACTGCTAACTCATATTTTCATTTTTTTTCTTCCAATCATAGCATGTTGCCTCTGTCCAAATCTCTGTCAAAAAGCTATGATTTCAGGAAAGCAGTTTTACAATGAGAGAGAAAGGTTGTCTCTTCATTTTTTCCTTTCTAAAACCAGTCAAAAAGAATATGGACAAAGAGAAACAGAAATGCTAACTCCACTTTTGATAAAATATAAAGGGAGCACCTATAACTCCAAACTTCATATAATCAGAAGACTACCAAAAACATAAAACTTGGACCAGAGTAAGAGGACACCTGTCACTAATGATCTCAAAAGAAGAGTTCTCCAAAGTAGGTGATAAATCCTAAGGGGCAAGTCATAGTCCTCTGGCCCAAAAAGAGTAGAGTGTATATAAGCTGGATGTGAAAGTCTCCCTAAATTCAATTTGACACTATGGAGTGTCAGGAGAGCCAGGATTAAAGAAAAAAACACAGACATGCCATCTTTAAAAGAAGCATTCTACCTTTTGATTTCCATTTGCATGGAATATCTTTTTCCATCCCTCTACTTTCAGTCTGTGTATGTCCTTACATCTGAAGTGAGTCTCCTGTAGGCAGCATATAAACAGGTCTTAATTTTTTTTATCCATTCAGTCATCCTATGCCTTTTGATTGGAGCATTTAGTCCATTTACATTTAAAGTAATTACTGATAGGTTATGTACTTACTGCCATTTTGTTAACTGTTTTCTGTTTATAGGTCTTCTTGTTGATAGGTCTTCTCTATTCCTTCCTTCTCTTGCTCTCTTCCCTTGTAGTTTGATGGCTTTCTTTAGTGTTACACTTAGATTCCTTTCTCTTTATTATTTTGTGTATCTATTATAGGTTTTTGATTTGTGGTTACCATTTGATTCATACATAACAGCTTATGTGTACAGGAATCTATATTAAGTTGATGGTCCCTTAAGTTTAAACACACTCTAAAAGCACTAAATTTTTACTCCCCCCTCCATGTTTTATGTATACAATGTCATATTTTATCTTTCTATTTTGTGCATCCCCTGGCTAGTTTTTGTAGATGTAACTGATTTTACTACCTTTGAGTTTTAACCGCCATACTGGCTTTAAAAGTGATTAACCTACTACATTAACTGTATTTCCTTTTACCTGTGAAATTTTTTCCTTTCATAATTTTCTTACTTTTAGTTATGGCCTTTTATTTCCAGTTAAAGAATTTCCTTTAATATTTCTTATAAGGCTGGTTTAGTGGTGATGAACACCTTTTACTTTCGTTTGGGAAATTCTACTTCTCCTTCAGTTCTGAATGATAACCTTTCTGGGCAGAATATTCTTGGTTGTAGGTTTTTTCCTTTCAGGACTTTGAATACATCATGTCACTCCCTTCTGGCCTACAAAATGTCTGCTAAAAAAATCAGCTAATAATCTTATGGGGTTTCCCTTATATGTAACTTTTCTTTTTTTCTTGCTGCTTTTAAAAATCTCTTTATCAGTACTTTTTGCCATTTCAATTATTATGTGTCTGGGTGTGGACTTCCTTGGGTTCATCTTGTTAGGGACCTTCTGTGCTTCCTGGATCTGGATGTCTGTTTCCTTCCCCAGATTAGGAAAGTTTTCAGGTACTATCTCTTCAAATAAGTTTTCTGCCCCCCTTCTCTCTCCTCCTTCTGGGATCCCTATATGCAAATTTTATTATGCTTGATGATGTCACAGAGGTCCCTTTACCTATTCTCATTTTTTGCTACTCTTTTATCTTTTTTGCTGTTCAGCTTCATGGCTTTCCATTACCCTGTCTTCTAGATCACTGGTAGTTCCTCTGCCTCCTCTAACCTGCTCTTGATTTCCTCTAGTGTATTTTTTATTTCAATTATTGAATTCTTCACCTCTGACAGGTTATTTTATAATTTATATCTTTGTTGAAGTTGAAGCTCCTAAAGTTAAGCCCCACTTATTTTCAAAGCCAGATGTTGTGGGGATTTGTCTTCCAGTTTGAGTCTCCTGTGCCAGGGGTGCTTGGTGTGGATTCTGATCCTCTTGCTTCTCCATGCTTGTGATGTCCCTCCTACTGTGTGCTGGGGTTTGGTTCCCAATCATGTTTTCACCCCTTCTACCCTTTTTGATGTGGCCTTCTGTCTATGATTAGCTGTAGGAGGTCTGTTCTGCCAGCCTTCAGGTCGTTTTCAGAGTTAGTCACGTAGTATATTATCTCAGTGTGTCCACATGGATGAGGTGAGCTCAAGATCCTCCCACCTTCCTAAAACTTCCTGAGTTTGACCTTTTAAGATTCCACATATAAATGATATTATACAGTATTATTTTCTCTAACTTATTTCACTCAGCATAATGCCTTCAAGGTTCATCCAAGTTTTTGCAAATGGCTGGATTTCCTTCTTTCTCACGGCTGAATATACTATTGTATATATTTACCACATCTTTCTCCATTCATCTGTTGACACTTAGGTTGTTTCCATAGCTTGGCTATTGCAAATAATGCTGCAATGAACATGGGATGCAGATATCTCTCCCAGATTCTGTTTTCATTTCCTTTGGATACATACCCAGAGATGATATTACTGGATCATATGATAGTTATTTTTCATTTTAAATGAATCTCCACACTGTTTTCCATAGTGGCTGCACCAATTTACATTTCTACCACCAGTTCACAAGTGCTTCCTTTTCTCCACATCTTTGCCAACACTTGTTGTTTCTTGTCTTTCTGATGATAGCAATTCTAGCAGGCATGAGGTGATATCTCGCTGCGGTTTTGATTTGCATTTCCCTGACAGTGATGTTGAACACCTCTTCACGTACCTGTGGTCGAATTATATGTCCTCTTTGGGAAAATATTCAGTTCCTGTGCCTATTTTTTAATTGGTTTGTTTTTTCACTATTGTGTTGCATCCATTCTTTATATATTTTGAGCATCAACCCTTTATCAGATACATAATTTGCAAATATTTTCTCCCATTCCATAGGTTGCTTTTTCATTTTGTTGACTATTTATTTTGCTGTGCAGAAGCTTTTTAGTTTGATGTAGTCCCACTTAATGACTGTTCTTGTTGCTTGTGCTTTTGGTGTCAATATCCAGAAGATCATTACAAAGACCAATGTCAAGGATCTTTTTCTCTATGTTTCCTTCTAGAAGTTTTACAGTTTCAAGTCTTATATTTAATTTACTTAAGTCTTTAATCCATTTCAAGTTAATTTTTATGAGTGGCATAATATAGGGATTCAATTTCATTCTCCTACTTATTATTATGTAACCAGTAGAACAAATAGTAATATTATATCCCCAAATAAGTCATAAATACTACTTAAATGATCTGACTTACAGAAATTTTATTACTAATTCTTAAATAATGTTAAAGCCAAGCCTTCTACACAGCTTTTACTCTTTGACAAAAATCTACAATAAAAGATATATTTGTAGGGGCGCCTGGGTGGCTCAGTCGTTAAGCGTCTGCCTTCGGCTCAGGTCATGATCCCAGGGTCCTGGGATCGAGCCCC